CGAATTGACGCGCGCGCGCGTGTGTTTGTGTGTGAGTGTGTGTAAGTGTAGAGTAAAGTCTTGTTTGTGGAGAGAATTTTCTTGAAGAATTGTAGGAGGAGAGGGAATGTGGGAGATTTCTTCTCTATTACACTTCTAAGAGAGAATTTAGTGTTATTTGTAAAGAGATAAAGTGCTTCAAGGGAACTTTAAGGGATTTTCTTGAGGAGGAGTTTAAGATAAGTTTTGTTCTTTCATTTCTTTGTTTTGTAAACTTATGAGATAGTGAAATGGAGAGATAATTTAGATGTACCAATTTTAAAATATAAAATAAATTGTGATGATTTTTTCACTTCGTTCTTAATTTATTTTTTGATTTGGTCGATTGAAATGTTAACATCTGTTATGAGACATACTATCCGGGAAATGGAGTATAAGTTTCACAACAAAGTGAGAATCACATTCGATTCTATGAAGGAAAAGGAATGTTTCGTTCATGGAATTGGGTGCAAATAAATAGAGAAATATATATTATTGGGTGAAGTATTGGAGATTTTAGGGTGACAGACTAAAATCCTCAATTTGGTCTTAGTGTTTAAGAACTAAAGCGAGAGTTAGCTTTCGAAGCAAGAGAAGTGGAAGCTCTGGAGTGAGAGCCAATATTCTCTTAGCTTAACCAAAGATTTAGGGACTAAACCTAAGATTACCCAATGATTCTCTATAACATTGAATCAGAGTAGAGAATTAAAATTGCCAGAGAATTAATTAAAACTGCTCATATTTAGCACAATACAAATTCAAATCATTTATCTATATTATTAACCAAAAATTCATAGTAGTGGGAAGGATATTTTCTTAAATTTGAACTATTCGTCACAAAACTTTGTTTAGTCTAAGTAAATTTAACTTTAAAGTTTAAAAATTAATTTTGTAAACTTAGTTTCGTTAGCATACATTAAAACCACTTTAATCAACCTTCCAAACTAATTGCTTATAGTAGTAGACTAGAATTAGCCAAAGGGATTTCTTACCTCGCTTCTTTGTGGGATCGATACTGGGGTTTTTAAAGAAAGCTCTATATTACTTAAAGAGATACGTGCACTTGCGTAGAACTCCTAGTGTGTGAACTATTTTTTATATTTTATATAACGGTTTAATTTTGCACATTAATTACTTACAAATTTTTTGTCATCTTTTGAAAGTTAAATTACTGCGTAACTGCGGGTCGGGTCAAGTTTTTGACTTAGTCTCAGGGGAATTAAATTGACATAAAACACACAGAAAAATAGCACACATTAGGGGCACAACACAATCAGGATCTATATAACCTAATTAAATTTATATTAGTAAATATCAATTCAAATTTAGATAAAGTTTGTACTTATTTAACCTCATCTAATAGGAATGATCAACTCACTTGACCTAAATGCCCATTATTTGAGCCAAATCTCAAATTCTTTGCAAGGAGTGAAGTCCAATTGTCCAAATCATTCTTAGGAATATATTGAACTCTATTTGACTAGTTCAAACAAAATCCAAATCCATTTAAGCCCTTTTACCCATGTTGACCCATTTAGGTCATCTAGGGTGAACTCATTTTAAATGTCATTAAAATTAGGGAAAATAACTCTTTAGGTCATTCCTATTTAATTAAATCAAAGTGACTCAATTGCACACAATTGGATCTAATGGGTCTATAAGCCTAATACAAACAAAATTGAGATAAATTTAATTCAATTTTGTATTAAATCACTCATACATTTTCAAAGGCCCAATTATAGTCGATCAAGTCTAGTTAGCGGCTACTAGAACCCAGTTAAGTCAATTTGGGTCATTATACAATCCAAATCTAATTAAGCTCAATTTAATCCAACTAGACTCTCCTAATTACATTCTTAGATGATTTTATAACTATATCAACGACAATCGAGACTCATCTAAGTCTAAGTGAGATTGGAAATGTTGTTAACCCAATTGAATCCAAAAAGTCAATTTTGCTCAAACTAAACCTAAACTCTGATAAAGTCTAATGCAAGCCTAATTAAAATCATTGTAAGGCAATCTAACCCAATCCCATGAACAATGGTCCCTCTAATTGAGCTCAAATAGTTTTTGACCCAAATTAATTCTAGAGGGATCCTATGAGCCCAACCTATCTAACTTTTACTTGGCCCTCAAATTAATTAGTACTAAACCAATTGAGCTCAAATAGTTTTTGACCCAAATTAAGTCTAGAGGGATCCTATGAGCCCAACCTATCTGACTTTTACTTGGCCCTCAAATTAATTAGTACTAAACCGAATTTGGGACATCGATGATGACGTAAACTCACTCAGGTCCATTAAGCTAGCTTAGGTGCACTCAAACCTAACCAGAGGTCAACTTGGATGGTCCCCTACCCCCCAAATTAAGCCAAAATGCATGGATCCTTTAAGATAGACTATCTAACCTTTACAAAACCCTCAATATAATTGGTACTAAACCTAATTTGATACAACCTATGCTGACCTGAGCTCACCTTCCTCCACTAAGCTAGCTTAGGTGCACCCAAACCTAACCAAATTAGGATGTTCCCCTACCCAAGCAAAAAAATACACAAACACACAACATATCCTCTGTCTGTACCAGTAACTTAGGAAATTGAACCAAACCAAAAAACAAATTGGAGAGAAGGGATATAGTATTGAAGTATGCCATTGGCCCTTCTTATGTTTGATTGGCTTCACAAATTATGAAATGTAGTAGAACCCTAAGGTTAATCTAACCCTTGGATGGGTTAGTCATAGGCATTTGATCCTTCATTGTGGTTTTTGACTAACAAGATTGCTCTCGCATCACATTGTTCTTAATACATGACTTTTGTTCTTCATCTCGAAGAAGAACACAAAGTCTTGAAAGCTCATTTTATGTATTTGGAATGACCGTCCTTGCTTTTGTTAGACTAAATAACCAGAAACACTCCATGTAGGCAATAGTCCCCATTTAACATGTTATTCAACCAAGCATTGTCATCTGAAAAGCACAGCCATGTCAGCAACCACATTAGTAGCTGAGTAGGTAAATTAAAACCAAAAATTGGCCTACATAAAAAGATTAATATAGATCCCAATGAACATTAGTTGTATGAAAATTACAATAGCATCTGATAGGCTTGCAATCTGATGACATCAAAAGCAATTTAAATATAATCTTTAAAAGCGTAAAATAATCATCCAAAGAAACTGCACAAAAAATATACATATAATCAACATCTTCAAAAACATTATAGGACATAAATGGAACCTTGTAACGTACCTGAAAGGATAAATAAATCCTATTATTAAACAATTAATTTCATGATGCAAAATCTGTGCTCGGAACAGAAGTAAAAGATGCCAGCCTCTTTAGACTGAAAATGATCTCGATTGAGGATCCTTTCAAATTCGTTGCAATATTTTCAATTCTCCAAAACTGCACCACCATTCAAAAAAATCAACACCAATCAGGTCCATGTATTATGCATCAACCATGCATTCCTTCCTTAGTTCTGCTACAATCACAATGTCCATGTAACTAGGAGCTTCCACAAAATTAAAAGTCTGGATTGAATTTTTCTTTTATTTTTTGGTTTTTTTAACTCACGCAAGAGATAGTATGGTGACAAAAGTCTCAACTACTGGGCCAAATATGCTGCACTAATCTGGAATGAACTTAAAAGGGATGATTCCATACAGATCCAAGTGCTTCCCCACAACGTTTATGAACATCCTTTATCCTCTCCACTGACTTGCAAATTCCACTGCAACTCCAGTCAAACGATGCAATACAGACATTTCCTGCCTGGGCTTTCCATTCACAATCTGGACATGAAGCAAGAAAAGAAAAAAAATAATTTAGAATTTGGTTTGGGGCCATAACGTTTATGGATATTTTAGTAGAATTTGCAAAAAGATTGAATATCATAAAGAGGTTATGTTAGTCGCGTGAGGTAAGATGTATTTAAAAAGTAGCCAATATTGTCAATACATGACAAATAAAAAGAACAAAAAAATTGCAGAAGTAAGCACAGTTTCAAGTAAAACTCATTAGTAGTTGTCTAGTAGGATTCATATATTCAGAAATAACAAGAAAATAAATAAATGTAGAAGAGGAGAAAAATGTTCTCCAATGTACACTTCAGATGAATTATGTACGGAGGGTGAAAATAAGGATCATATTTAAACATGAAAAAAGGGTGAGATGGAAATCTCTTTAAGAGACATTATAAGATGGTTATTTTTAGAGAAAAACTGTCTAGAAGAAGGCAATTGCACAATTAAGAAGTATCATAAAACATGCATTTGAAAAAAATTAAGTTCATTTGGCATTAAAGAAGATGCATAAAAGCAAAAAATAGGATTCAATTAGATGAGATGCTTATTGCAATTTAAGAAAATTAGAAATATTAAATAATCTTTGTAACAAACCTTTATGATTAATGCCATGACAACAAGAAAATATCAAATTATTGGAGAGATCAATCTAAAAGAATAAAAAATTCAGGATTATGTTAATCAAAAGGGAAGCAACTTTATGAGTCTTACAGTTATTTGAAAATAAAAGAAAAAAAAAACGCCTATAAATAAATTTTTAAAGTTAAAACAATCATTTAAAAATAATAGAAAATGATAGATTGTCATATTATTTTTTCTGCTCTTGAATTGTCATATGATGAGTACTAGGATTGCAAAAATGAGTTCAAAATATATTGAAGTTACAAAAAAATGTACAAATGATAGATATTTTACAATTGGCAAGCATTAGAAATGATTAGAGAAGTATAACTAGTTGTTTTTTTAACTTTGATAATGGATCTAAATAAAACAAGAAAAATTAGTTTAGTAAAATAAGGATTCAAGAAATTTGTTACAAATTTCTGTTAGTGATATAAGAATTTCATTTTAGCATGTGCAACCTAATATAAGAATTTCATTTTAGCATGTGCAACCTAAATTTCAAAGAAACGGCTAGATTGCCTTCTAGTTTATTTCAAATTCATAGAGCAATCGTTTCTTAAAGTTCCCCATTCCTTCCAAGTTATCACCTATCATGATAATGCCATCAAAATAAATTAATATTGTTGAGACTTTCCTAGAACCAATATATTCTACAAATAATGTAAGGTCTCTTTGACTTGGTTAATATTCCTTGGGAAACCTTCCAAATCTTGGAGATTGCTTTAATCCACACACTGATTTTTTTAGCTAATAACATTTGTTTTCCATCTTAACCTAAATTTGATGCGGCTTTTATTTACATCTTTAGATCGCCATGTAAGAAAGCATGCTAACCATTGAATTGTTGTATTTTTTAGTCCATTCAAGAAGCTAATGATAAAGGAACTTAAAAAATGTTCATTTTAAGAAATAAAACAATGATTTTAGAATAATTAATCACATAAATTAGAGTGTAACCTTCGCCAACCAATCTAGCTTTATATTTTTTGCGTAAATCATAGAATTGTACTTTAAAACAAAGATACATCAATATCCCTCTAATTTCTTTTCTTTAAGAAGTTTTATTAACTCCCTTTTTTTTATTTTTTTAAGAGCTTTCATTTCCTTCATAATACTAATCTAATTCTCATTTCATAATGCCTTGAAGAGTGCAATAGTGATAAAGATAATATGTAGGCTTGTAAGAAAGGTATGGTTGTTTTGAGAAAAATCTTAATACGCAAACTAGCATAGAGGATATTTAATCAAAAATTTTGTAGATTTTTGAGTTAAAACTTCCTTCACCATCGAGGTAAACCTTTAGTTGATAAAATTCATATGTTGGGATTAATTTCAATACCTATTGGAATTCCCAATTTAATTTCAATACCCATTGGAATTCCCAAATTAATTTCAATACCCTTTGGAATTCTGAAATTAATTTCAATACCCATTGAAATTTCCAAATCAATTAAAATTCTGTTTTAATTTTAATAACCGTTGGAATTTCTTGGTGTTTTTAAGAGAAATAAATTTCAGAATGTGGTCTGTATAATGTCTAAGTTCAACACATGAATTTAGTAACATTCCATGATGTGCTCACATCAATAAACTCTGTGATGGGCAGAGCACTATAAATTAGATGTGATGCTTGTTGTTTTGGTCCCTAAGCTTGCTTCTCTTCATTTTATTTGCACCATCGAGTTGTGAGTGAGAAAGGCTTAGAAGATCTATAACAGAAAATTAATCGTGTGATTTGTGAGTGTCGACTCTAATCGTATAAGTTATGGCTGGAGGTATGTATGATCCTATCTCGTTCCGCTTATCGATTCAAATATGTTTGTAGATCAAATATGGTATTTAGATTTTTCATTTGGTATCAGAGTCTTGATTAACCTCTGCCTTGCTTACTCTGTTTCACTTTATTTATGCGTAAATCTTGGTTGAGATATTAAGATTAATGTCCGTTCTTATTGCCCATTTTTTGTGAAAACGTTTTGATTTTGGGGCATTAGAATTTTGACGTTTTTAATCCAAAATAAAATCGGAAATCATTTTGAAATCAAGTTTCTAAGCTTTCTGTGATTTGAACCATTGATTTTGGCTGAGGAATCATCGGGTTTCCCATTCGGAGCCGCGAATCTAAACCGGGTCTAGATGACCCGGCTAAAGGATGAAGACGAGCCAAACGACTTGTCGTCTGGGCATTGGTGAAAACGACATGTCGTTTCCATTCGGGAAAAACCAGCCTCGTCATGCAAAACGACATGTCGTTTTAAGTCAATATATATTATGTTAAATAATATTTATGCACTGTTTTATTTGCATTATTTATGATTGTATGCAAATGTTTAGCACTTAATAAAGAATTAATTAATGTTAGTTGATTCATATAATTTTAATTAATTATGGAATAGCCACAACATCTTTAATCAATTAAAATTATATATTGAATTCAAGAATCACATTAAAATATTAGTTGTAATTAATCATAAGAGATATAATAAAATCTACCCACAGGAATTTTGTTATATTTGTATGATTAATTAGGATAAAATATCAACTTATATTTCTTAATCTATCCACAGGAATTAAGAAAAGGAACATAATTTAATAGTTTTATCATAAAGTTATTAAATGATCTATTTGAGTAGAATTTTTGCCCACAGGCAAGTTCTATGAAACTAGATTCAATGATTTGAGCATGATTTATAATAATAATAATAATAATGAGCTTGTATTTTTAAAATTTTTGCAGTTATTCAACCTTCAAACATTTCTGATTTTAAGTGTGATATTCCCGAATTAAAGGGTGATAACTATAAGGTGTGGAAAGAGAGAGTTCTTCTCCATTTAGGATGGATGGATATTGATTATGCTATAAGAAAAGACGAACCACCTGCCATTACTGAAACCAGCATTCCGGATGTTGTTGATCTTTATGAAAAATGGGAGCGATCTAATTGTCTCTCTGTGATGTTCATAAAGATCAAGATATCTGCTGGTATCCGTGGTTCTGTCGAGCAGCATAATAAGGTGAAGGACCTTCTGAAAGCCATCGATTGGCAGTTTACAACATCTGACAAGGCTCTGGCCAGCACCTTAATTATGTAATTTTCATCCATGAAGCTCACCGGAATTAAAAGCGTGCGTGATCATATCATGCACATGAGGGATATAGCGGCTCAACTTGAAGCTTTGAAAGTTAAAATGTCGAATACTTTTCTGGTTCATTTCATTCTGAACACTCTGCCCCAACAATATGGACCCTTCAAAATCTCTTATAACACATAAAGACAAATAGTCAATTAATGGATTGTTGACCATGTGTGTCCAAGATGAAGGTAGATTGGCAATGGAAGAGGGTGAAAAGGTGAATTTTACTACTCAAGGAAAGAGAAAGTTGGATCAAGCCAAAAATAAGGGAAAGGGCAAGATTCCTCCTCAGCCAGATATAAAGAAAGAGTCAAAGTGTTTTTTCTGTAAGAAGAAGGGGCACATAAAGAAAGACTGCATCAAGTTTAAGAACTGACTCAACAAGAAAGGTGCTCAACTTTCATTCGTCTGTTATGAGTCAATATTGTTAATGTTAAGCATAACACATGGTGGATTAATTTTGGTTCTACAATCCATGTTTCTAATACCTTGCAGGGTATACAAAACCTAAGGAAGCCAGTGGGAAGTGAACAATGCATCTACAAGCCAGTGGGAAGTGAACAATGCATCTATTCAGGAAGCAAGATGAGTTCACATGTAGAAGTCATTGACATGTGCAATGTGGTTTTAAGCAGCGGTTTCATTTTACGTTTGGAAAAGACTTTTTATGTTCCAAGTCTCTCTAGAAATTTGATTTCTATTTCAAGACTTGTACCTTTGAGTTTTTCCTTTAACTTTTTTTATTCTGGTTTTAGTTTATCTTATGAATCTAAGGTTATTGGTTATGATATTTTGTTTAATGGTCTTTACTCTATTGAATTGCAAAACGATGCTGCTTATAACTCTATGCATGTTACTGTTGGGTTAAAACGATGTGTTGTGAATGAGGAATCCTCAATGTTGTGGCACCGGAGATTAAGACATATCTGCATTAAGAGAATTAAAAGATTGGTAAATGAAGGGATACTTAGTACTTTGGATTTTGTTGACTTTGAGACTTGTATAGATTGCATAAAGGGTAAGCAAACTAATAAGTCTAAAAAGGCTGCCAAGAGGAGCACAAACCTATTAGAGATTATACATACAAATATTTTTTGTCCAGACATGGATATAGTTAGTCCAAAATACTTTGTCACCTTCATAGATGATTATTCACAATATATGTATCTCTACTTCGTTCTAAGGACGAAGCTTTGGATGCCTTTAAAATATTTAAGGCTGAAGTGGAG